AGACTGGGACTAACACTCACTCGCGCACTCGGTTCTCTTTCTCCTTTCGCCAAGAATCGGAGATAAATCACCAATCGACACGGAACGCGACGACTCGCGAGAGAAATTTTTTTAATATTCACATCTCACCGACGTATTCAAATCCAGACGTGGCGCAGCGAGCGGTCGTCCGCGAATGGCGCAACGAAACAGTTCGCAACTCCCGTATCTTCGTCTCGACGGCTCCGCCTCGAGTCAACCGCGCGACACAGCCACTCTTTCTTCTTTTTCGCGCAATCGATTGATGTCTCCCGATCCGACGCAGCCACTACGCGACCCGTTCCGACAACCTCCGCGACACACTCGCGGATCGTCGCGCGCGTACCCGATTCCCGCGGAAAGAGGAACAGTGGTGCCAACCAGTGCCAACCGCAACGCGAAAATATACTCATAAGTCTATGGGTGTAACTCGCGGACGCTTCCCGTCCGCTCGTGAGATTCGTCGGGTGAATAACCGGCCGCCGAGTCACGCTCGTCGTTACAGGTCCATACGTCGAACGCCGAACGAGAGAACGATAGACGATATCGCGCGGCAACCGGCGCGTGAGGTAATAAAACATTGCGTATAAGTTTCGGGAATCCACTAGGTGTGCGCGGTCGGTTATATCGCCGGCTGAGAAACGTCGAAAGCGATTGGCTGTGATTCGCGGGAGCTTCGCCCGGTCGTGCGACACACGTCCTGTCGACTCGCAATCCCTCGGGTGAATGACCACCGCGTCACCTCGGTACGTACGTTGGAGCGCCGAGTGAAAAAACAACAGCGAGTCACGCGGCAACCGACGCGGTAGGTGAAAAACATGTTTTTTCGTCTCAACGTAGGTCAAGGGTACGCGACGGCGCGGCGGCTCGAGGCACCGCCGGCTCGAAGCCGGCGAGAGAGCGGACTGGCCGGATCCGGGGGGCTCGCCGCGCGCGGAGCCAATCGCGCGCGGCGACACATCGCGCGGCGGTCGGCGGGACGGCGGCTCGACTGCGCGGCGCGCGCAGTAAGCGATTCGCGTTTGTTCGCGTTAGTGGCGTAGCTTCGTCGGTTCGTCGTGTAGCTTTTCTTCTCGCGAGTGAAAAGTTCGATCGCGGTGGATCACGCGGGCTCAGTGTGTGTCGTAGTGTAGTTAAGCCGAACGTGTGCCTTCTGTTTCTCGCGGCGTCAGGCAACGAGCGGGATGCCGTCGCTGGATGTGACGAACGCTGGACTCCGACGCCGGACGTCGTCGCTGGACTTGCCGGACTCGCCGTGTCCTCATCCCTCCCGGACGTGGCTCGGCGGTTCCCGCATTGCTCCGTGGTCGGTGAGCGAGTTTATTTGTTAGAAAGACGCGATTCGAAGCGAGGCGGATCCGAATCCCTGATCTTCAGTTACTCGCGCGGGCTTCGTGACTCCCCCTTTTTGCGAGGTCTCCGCGAGCATGTGTCGATTTCTCGCGAACATGATGCAGTGCGCGCAATAGAAGACAAATCGCGTGTGAAAAGTGAGAGATCTCGAAGACGCCGCGCGAGGAATTGACGGTTAATTGATAATCGTCGTCCCGCGTACATTTTGCGCGGTAAATCGGTGACTCGCGTCTTCCGTTTCCATCTCGATTCCGCGTGGTCTACAATGCGAGTCGCAGAGTCGCAGTCGTAAGAATAATCGACCGCGATTGGTCAATTCCGTCAGATACAAAGGCCTTCACACATAAAATTCCGTAAGGACGTAAAACGTAAGCGTAAGAAAATCAACAGGTTGGATTTGCTACTGCTTGCGTCATTGCCGTACGTTCTCGACTGTGATTGGTCGATTTTCTTATGCTTACGTTTTACGTCCTAAAGCCTCCGCTACAATGATTCTCGGTTCTGTCTACAATGGTCGCAGTCTTAGAATCGTAGAGTCATGGATTGGGTCGTATCGATGTATAACTGAAACCGATTTTCTGTTTTTGAGGTATTTTCCCACGATATATTTGACATATAATGACACACGACATATAACACTATTCTCTGATTAGTCCGTCGCGGCAATAAACGCAGTCGTGGTCGTTGGAATAGGAATTGAACCTATTCGAGCGACTACGACTACGACTGCTTTGCGACTGCTCAAGCGACCATCGACACAACTGTACGACCATTGTAGACAGAACCGAGAATCATTGTAGCGGAGGCTTTACGGAATTTTATGTGTGAAGGCCTTAAGAATTGACCAATCGCAGTAGACTATTCTTACGACTACGACTTTACGACTTCTATGTAGACGAGGCTTTCCTGCTTCGAACGAACGACTCGCGCGGGACGAAGCTGCAATTGAGCCTCTCGTTAAACGGAGTCACGATCGATTGCCGATTGATCTAAGGCAACGATCGCGTGTTCGGTATCTTCGCGCGCTTGTCGCGACCGCGAACGGCTGCGGATGAGCGGGCGAGCTGGCTCCATGAACGATGTAGCTGAAGCTAGGAGCCAGCGCTAGCAGCGAAACACAGCGCGGCCAGGGCCGAATGTCATATGCTCGTACCACAGTATAACCAGCATGGGCACTCTCTGTCGGCACCTTTGATCTGGGCGTTCTCAATTTTCCGCCATGTTTTTATTCTCGCCAACAGTGTATCAGCGGCTAAAAGTGCCTGTAGCGCGATTCTGTAACTCGTTGTGTCGTCGTTACGGGCTTTGCGCAGATCTAATATACCGTAGAAAAGCTGCGCAAAGCCCGTAACGACGACACAACGAGTTACAGAATCGCGCTACTGGGCCCTTTTCAGGATCGTATCCAGGAAAGGCGCATACGAACTGGCGTACATTATTTATTGTAAATAGAAATGGCCTATGAAAGAAAATGTTCTAATAAAAGTAATTAATGTAATTACTTGCTCCAACGTATAAAAGTATTTACGCGTTATTCGTCAACGATGCTTTGCACTAACACGCGTACAAAAATCCTGTGATTGGTCAGAATAAAAACATGTCGGATGCGCAGTACGGATCGGCGCGAACGTGAAACAAAAGAGCGAGTGCCCGTACTGGTTATACTGTGCTCGTACGATACGTACATGACCATACAAATTAATTTTCCATAAAATAGAAATTGTGAGGGATAAAAATAGCTCACGTTTTACATGAAATAATGTATTTCATGTCCGCAACTCTTTAGGGTATCTGTCTTGCAATATCGGAGTTTTATTACATACAACAATGTTTATTACCACTCTGAGTGACGTGAAAGTATTTTTTTATATACACGATTGATATACACTTCGCCAGTGATAAATTACAAACAAGTACTCTCTAAAATTTGTGGAGTGAAAATACTGCCATGGAGTGAAATGTTCACCCTATTGGCGTGAATATTTCCTCCAACAGAGTGAATATTAACTCCAATCAGTGGCGTAGCTTGCCCTAGACGGGCCCTGTATCAAAACTTGTCGGGGGGCCCTTCTACCCGACTGCGGCGAAGTCGTCGTCCTATACAGGGTGTCCTGAAATTCGCGAATCAAAATACCATAGCAAGAATGTCGTCGAAAAAATAAATTAAAAAGTTATTTGCCATTTTTTGTTCCGAGCAGTAGTTTTTTTAGATAAAATGGTTCAAAACAGGCTAATCATACATTACGGTTGAACGAAAACCTGTCCGTGAGTCAGTCCGTGAGTTAGTCACTAACACTATCGACGCGCGACTCACGGACAGGTTTTCGTTCAACCGTAATGTATGATTGGCCTGTTTTGAACCTTTTTATCTAAAAAAACTACTGCTCGGAACGAAAAATGGCAAATAACGTTTTAATTTATTTTTCGACGACATTCTTGCTATGGTATTTTGATTCGCGAATTTCAGGACACCCTGTATATCGTTCAAATGGAGGGTAAAGATTTTTCACAAAAGAAACAAAAACGCTCGCATTGAATAAAATAAATATAATTGATTATAAGTAATTACTTACAATTAATGCTCCTAGGAGCCAAGTTAGCCAAACAATTCAAATATATACTTTTCTCGCCTCTTTTTACGAATTTTTGCTTACACACGTCGGGGCCCCTGTAGCCCGGGGGCCCCATATCATTGAAACTCCAATGGAGTAAACATTTCACTCCATGGCGGTATTTTCACTCCACAAATTTTAGAGAGTAATATTATTTGACTAGAACTGGCTGAAATTTTATTTCTTAAGTTATTCAATATTATAGAATGTAAAAACTACCAGAAACTATCGAATTTCGCCTCTTCTTTCGACGAGAGAAGCCAGTGGCGATACTATTTTTTTCTACTGGATTGCTTGCTTACGCCTACAATTTAAATGCAGATTTGACAGTTTATATCTGATATAACTCCTATGATTCAGTTATAACTCCGTATCATTTAAATTGATTTTCAACATTTACAATTATTTTTATATCTATATTGTTTTCAACTAGTTATTGAAAAAAATTCGATATGGATACAGAGTTGAATTTTATTTTCAAATTGTAATCAAGTGATTTTAAATTTTAATACAAAAATTACATAAAAGATGTCTTTGACATAATAAAGATATAACTTAATGTGTTTACCGAGAGGAAAAAAATCATGACTATAGTGATAATAATTTTTACAAAAGTCAGTTTTTATTAACTACAAATAATCAACAAGGATAATTTCAATTTGCGCTAATTGTAATGCGTAAGAAACGTTGCTTGATAAGTGTGGAGCCTATTTAATACTTTACAAATGGTACATTACAGCCGAACTCGGAGTTATGTAATTGCCCTTTCAGGCTCATAAAGTGCAATTCCAAGTTTTGTGTGTTTTACAGCATAATATAAAAATAATAAAAAGTTACACTAAATTAAATCTGATCACATTTTAGCTTGCAGAAAATTAAACAGATAAATGGTATCGCGGCACGTATCTCTTGATGCCAGACGATAGTGTATCAGGGCAGTCAATGTTAATTGACGCTTACGATACCGTTTACTGAATTCTGATCTATTGATACGTCAAGCGTTCGGTTAATCAAAATCATTGGTGAACATCGCCGTGAAAAATTGCGAGAAAAATTTTCCCATGTATTGCTCTTCCTTGACCGGCCAAACGCCTTCCAGGAAACCAATGTGTCCACCGCGCGACGTTACCACTACGGCCACGTTTTTGGTCTGGCTTATCTCCTTCAGAGGTATCGCTAGACAGACATTCAGAGCGTTGATTAAAATTATATAAAAACGTTATGATCGTTGTCGCGCTGTTGTTACTCACCTTGCAACGGCTGAAACGGATCATCTGCCGCGCTTAGGCACAAAGTCGGAACTTCGATCAGATGCAGCTTGTCGTGTAGCGTCGCGTTGCTATAATACTCTTCCACATTTTTGTACCCAAAGTGTCTTGCCGTAAAATTCGAATCGAATTCTCTTATCGTCTGGCTCTGTCGAACACAATGATTCACAGCAATTTATTTATGAGCCAGACGGATGATGTCAAATCGCGTCACAAATAAGTGATAAATTAATCTCTAATTTAGTTTTGATCAAAGTTCGAATCAAATTTATTATCTCGGAGCAGATTACGATGTATCTTTTTGCGAAACATAAATGTGGCAATGCGGAAAGCGACAAAAAACAAAACAAGATGAGATAGTACATAAACTATTGCTGTCAATGCAACAGATAAAAAAATTTTGTATTCCGTTAAATCTTTTGGCTTAAACGTGCAATGTGTACGCCAGAGAAGTTAAAAATATTCGATCTTTTCGTGTAGCCATGTTTGAAAGAAACATGCCTTGAGAACAGTGTCCATATCTACGTTGAAAGGGCCAACATCGGAAGCTTGATGTCGCTGTATCGTGCGGCATAAATTACTGGCTAGATGCTTATTCAACATTAGGTTAAAATAGTTTTCCTCGGTACTCTTCGTCGCTGCGAACACGTTCCATGGCACCGAGATAATGAGACACGCTTTCAATTTGGTCTTTGCTGTTAGACCTTTTTGGGCTAAATAATTACCCAAGATCAACCTATACAGAAAAGATATGCAGTGGTTTATAAAAATTTATTAATGTAAAACCACATGCTTGAATGTACATTGCACGTACTCTTTCTAAGCATCGTAGAGATGTCATTATACAATTTAGTTATTATTTTGAAAAGAAAATAACTGAATAAGATAAAGAAAAAGTAGAATAGCTAAATAAAATAAAGAAAAAGTATAATAGTTAAATAAAATAAAGAAAGGTATGATTACCCTCCCATGGAGATCCCGGTTGCTCCGAGAAGTACGTGAGGATGAAGTTTCTTCACGTGTTCTACGACTTCGCTTAAATCATCATAATTAGCGGCGCAATACGTTCGTGGAGTCTAAAAGAAGAATTTTCATTGTTGCAAAACATGTTTTCGGTTAAAAATTAGTCCTGCTAACAAAAATGAATAAATAATAATTACAAGAGTTATCGCGCCCGTTTCGGTTCACGAATATAAACTCTACCTTGAGTTCTAGTCCACCTAAGCCTCTGTTGTTGAAAATGACGCAACGTATTCCATTTTTCCTTGCGGCTGATATCAGACACTTGATATATTCTGCCTGACTACCGCCCGTGAGACCAGGTAAAATGATGACAATCGGCGACGTGATGGAACAATCTTTCTCGGCCCAATCCAAGGCCACTTCACCCCCGTCGGACAATGCGAGAATTTCTCTGCGTAACGTAAAGAGAGTATTATTGAATAGAATTCGATTGCTTGGTCGATCATACGAATTGCTTGTTTTTCAAATTTAAATCCTCGATGAACAATTATATATATTTATTCTTTGCATTTATCCTTTCACTAACCTGCGGTATTCGACATGCGGCAATATCCGGGATCTCAAAATGCTCGCTATAATGGTTTGTGCTCGCGATTCGAAACACCATAATGTTGGCCAGAATTTATTTTGCACGAGCGGAATGTTGGCTTCTAAGAATGAGCGGAATGGTCCATTGGCGCAAACCAGCAAGGGTGTCTGGAAACGTAATAGTTGTTTTTGTTATTGGTTTTCCATGTGTGAAGTTTTATATATATATCAACAGTGCGGTGTATTAAGGCAGGTTACCACCTTTGACTGCGATTTTGGAGGCGTTTTTCATGAATTTTTTTTGCATACAAAGAGTGCGCAGAAATAAAATCGGTTTTAGTCATTCATTAATGTAACTTTAATCTGTAATTACAAACTGAAAAAGTAAAAAATAATCTCTTGTAGGTGGCGCCAAAATACATTCCTTTGGAGGAACACCGTTTTAGACGGTGTGTCAAATTCCGCTCTGTACGTGGCTCCTAGAAAAAAATCCAAAGAATGTTCCTATTAACTACAATATTTTTTAATGCTGTACGTAGGGATTTTACGAAATTTCGATTTTTAAGAAAATGGCGGTCATTTTAACAAAAAGGTTTACCCTAAAAAATTGACCTTTTTGTTAAAATGACTGCCATTTTCTTAAAAATCGAAATTTCGTAAAATCCCTACGTACA